AAGGACTCTTCTCATTCATGCAGCTGACTAGCTCGATCTGTTAAATGCTCTCTTTTGTCGTAAGTTCGAGACGAAGCAAAGTGTATCCACTGGTGTTTGGTTCTCAAAAGATTCCAGTTTACTGTCACATGGGAAACTTTGGATGTGATAGTGGAGGATGGACACTGGCTATGAAGATTAACGGTGCAAAGGTAAACTCCCTGTCTTCTTTCAGAACCTCTTTATTTATTAAGAATGAAAAAAGAAATGAAATAAAAATGTCACTCTTTATTTCAGAGAACCTTCCATTACAATTCCCATTTCTGTAGCGACAGAAATGTCTATCACCTTGGTGGAGGCAGGACTGGCTTTAACTTACAAGAGACTAAGTTACCGACTTACTGGAACACACCCTTCTCCAAGATCTGCCTCGGTATAAAGATTGGTCATCAGCTCAGGTTCATTGTGATCAACAGGCACGCCAACTCACTCTACTCACTGATCGCTGATGGGAAATACCGTGCTACGGCACTTGGTCGTAACACGTGGAAGACGCTGATTGGCTCACAGGCCTCACTGCAGCCCAACTGTAACAAAGAAGGATTCAATGCTGTAGGTGACAACCATCGTCACTCCAAAGCAAGAATCGGCATCACAGCAAACCAGGCTTCGGGCTTGTCATGTGCACTTTTACACTTTCCTCCAACAGCCTTTCTTAAAGTTAAAAAGAAGTTAAAAAATGGGCGGCTGTACACAGAGTCTGCTTGCGGGTGGTAGTTTGTTTTTCAAGCGCGAGATTCAGCGCGGCGAATCTTCGGTCGCCACATTGGACAGGTGGAAAATCTGAGTCGAGTGAGAAAGCGAAGAGGAAGGGGGAAGTAGAGTAAAATTTTTCTCTCCCTCCCCATCCCTCTCGCTCTGTTACTCGTCCTAAATCTTCTATCCGTCCATAGTGGCGACCGAATTTTCGCCGCGCTGAATCTCGCTTACATGCGATACCAAACCGCTATCAGTCTTCTGCCTTGGACTGGTATACCCCAGAAAGCATTTTAAGTGATCACTAGTGTTTTTGAATGACAGTAATTGAAACAATATGGAGCAACAAGTTCCACGATATTTTTTTTATCCCAGTACTACTGGTTTTGATTCTACACTGTCGCAAACATTCTACTCCACCCATCCTATTTATATTACGTGTTTGTCAACTTAAAGCTTTAAGCCCTGGAAGTCATGGCAGAGAATTGACTTATTAAATTTGGAATATTTTAGTCGAAAAGCGATTTATGGAGCAAGTTCTCTCCCTTCCACCTTAGCCCCTACCTTTATGATCAGTTCGCCCCTAAATGCTATTACTCGTTGCCTTACGGTAGAACCTATTCCTGATCTGTCGAAATGATGATATAGTTTAATCAACATACAATTTACAGCGAAACCAGATCAAAGTTCGATCAACCTGCAAATTTTCAGGCGTGTTAATTGGCGCTCGAGTGACGCTATTTTCTGGTTTGAAAATATATTATGTTTGCAGCAAATTCTAAAAACTGTCGAACGCAAAGTTAGTAGGGGGCGAGCTAACAAAAGAGCGCAACTTCCATAGCCAGGTACGCGAAAAGGAGATCACAAAAAATCACATATCAACTGAATTTACCCTTAAAAACACCTTGAAACACTTTCAATTGGTTTTATTTAGGAAACGCGTGGTTGATTAGCATCTTTACCTAACTAATTCTTTTTACTTTGGCTTTACATATTTTATTTTCTGGGAAGAAGAATTGAATTCTTTTCATCCTAACATGGAATACAAGTTGTATTCCATGTTAGGATGAAAATTTGAGAATCTTTACAGCTTGGGGTTACTTTGTTGAACGGTAAATGCGTATACGCTTTGTGAGTGCAGGCAGTCGCGACAATCAAATGATCTCTTCAATTAAAATAGTAGGCGTCAATTTCAGAGGTTCCCAAGGGATTAATGACTTTACGTTGTTACATGATCAACTCAGTTTCTAAAAAGCTATAAAACCAAATTATCTTGTAATACTCCTTACCGACGGAACTCCATAGGTTCTCTAGAGACTTACCCGGCCTTTAAATGATTTCTACAAATCGTTTGAACTTAAATGCAGAACTGAGGACACCTCACGTTTTGTTTTAGTAATTGTTTAGGGATGCATGCGTGCAAAAATAGTCAGTTCGTTAAAAATAAACATATAAAATTGATTTTATGAAATCGCTGTATCGCCGTTCTCAAATTGGCCTTTCATTCTCCAGTAGATAGACAGCTATATTGTAAACAGATTTTCAAAGTCCGGTAATTTCTTTGGAAGACACTAGCAATGTACGCAGTGAATAAACTTGAAAACAAACTTAAACTTGGAACTTGTCTATTGGATGTTGTTGAGTGCGAGCAAGAAAATACGAGTCGTGTTTAACAATGATAACAAACAATAACGAAGCAAAATCACATGTTTTCATGTTCAAAGTGTTCTCAACTCGCTCACATCTTTACACCGCAGTCTTTTCTTTCTTACCGACAGCCAGTCCCTTCTCTTCTTGCAAGGAGCAGTACGACAAAGGAAAGTAAGGAAACAGTACGATGTTTTCATTTCAAAATTCCAAATCGCTCGCTTGATGCTAAGAGACCATTGTTGTAGGTATGAGGACTCTTCTCGTGCATACAGGCTGACTCAATCCGTTAAATGCTCTCTTTTGTCATAAGTTCGAGACGAAGCAAAGTGTATCCACTGGTGTTTGGTTCTCAAAAGATTTCTGTTTACTGTCACATGGGGAACTTTGGATGTGGCGGTGGAGGATGGACACTGGCTATGAAGATTAACGGTGTAAAGGTAAACTCCCTGTCTTCTTTCAGGACCTCTTGATTTATTGAAACTGAAAAAAAAAAGAAATGAAATAAAAATGTCACTCTTTATTTCAGAGAACCTTCCATTACAATTCCCATTTCTGGAGCGACAGAAATGCCTATCACCTTGGTGGAGGCAGGACTGGCTTTGACTTACAAGAGACCAAGTTACCGACTTACTGGAACACACCCTTCTCAAAGATCTGTCTTGGTTTGAGGATAGGCAATCAGCTCAGATTCATTGTCATCAGTAAGAGGGCCAACTCACTGTACTTACTGATCGCAGATGGGAAATACCGCGCTACCTCACTGGGTCGGAATACTTGGAAGTGGCTGATTGGTTCGCACGCCTCCTTACAGTACAACTGCAACAAGGAAGGGTTCAATGCAGTGGGAACAAGCCTGAGTCTATCCAAAGCAAGAATTGGTATCATTTCTAACCAGGAAAATAACTGCGGTTCCTGTGACTTCCGAATTGGTATCGGCACCGGAGGTCAACCTGATGACTCCAAAACGTGTGGAATTGAAGCAACATCCTCGCCAGACAATGGAAACAAGCACATCAAAGCCATGGGGTACATCCTGGTGCAGTGACAGGGAACATAGTTAACTTCCCAACTTTCAAGCTGAGAAGCCATCATCAAGTAGAATAAATGTAGTATCCTAAGGCTTTAAGGCATATAAAGCAGTGGGTTTAAAATCATCACCTCCTCTGGTCTAATTTGTCTCAAACATCACTTTTTGAAATCCAGTCTAAGAAGTTTTAATTGTGCGAGGCCAATTCAGGTTTTAAAAACGAAGAAGAATTTGAAAAGAAAGACATAGTCGATGTTGATGATACATCGATGTCGTGAACTGTATGCGCAGGGAAGTCATGCACTGAAGAAAGTGAACAAAAATTATTACTTTTTTTTTTTTCGCGCGATTCACCTTTTGGTCTCGACTCCCGCTTCTGTCCACTCATGCCAAAATACCGAAAACTGCATCTGTTCTGCTAGAAAGCCACGGGCGTTGACGATTTTTATTGGAAATAATTGGCTCAGATGGGAGAACAAACCAAATGCTCTGGAAAAAGTAATACCTCCCAAAGTATTACCTGCTTTTCTCGCTCAAACCAGAACCACCCAGTTTTTCTGTACCATGTGTTCTGAACGTTAGCCTCCACGCGAAATACGAATGTAGATATTCACAGCATCATCATTACTTCGCCATTGAATATATTTCTCTCCGGAATATTTTCCGTAATCATAACCTCCCTCTGCACAACTTCAGATGTCCTCCTTTTAATTCAAAAACTATTATTGCCTGAGGGAGGAAGGGGACTAGTCTCCTTCGCAGCAGTTGTTTGGGCTCGTCACGCAACGCTCCCTCCACCACCAACCATCTCCTTCGCAGCCGTTGTTTGGGCTCGTCACGCAACGCTCCCTCCCCCACGAACCGGCTGCTTTAACCCGAACCACATTCCTTTCCCTTTGTTTAGATTTCACGGTGACTGCACGTGATAATGCGCGTTTGTACCAATCACACATAACATAACATAACTTAACATTTATTCAGGAAGCTAGAACCCAAATGTAAAAAATACATCCTGAAAAGGGAAAATCGTGAGGTTAACCCTGTATAAAAACAATTTCCCTGATTAAAAACATACAAAAGATAAAATTTAATGGCTACAGATTCATAAATATTCAATAAATATTCAAATAAATTTTAAGTCTACTCTTAAAAACAGACAATGATTCGGCGTGGACAATGTATCCTGGCAAGCCATTCCATTTCCCCACAATGCCAATGAAGAAACAATATTTGTAACAATTACAAACCGCTCTTTTCAGGGAAGGTTTATAGTCGTGGTTAGCTCTTGTACGCTTATCGGCAAACACAAAGAAATCTGGGAAAGAGAGGTGCTCAATACCAAAAACTATCTTATAACATTGAACCAGAGATAGAAATTCTCTCCGCTTTTCTAGTGTTTGCCATTTTAGTAAGCTACAACGGTGTTCGTAATTCATTTCGCCTCGTTTCTGCCTTAAAGCTAGTCGCGAAGCTCTTCGTTCAACCGTTTCTAGAGCCGTAATATTCTTAATCAAATACGGGCTCCAAACAGGAGCCGCATACTCCAGTATGGGCCTGACCAGTGACTTATAGAGCTGCGAAAACACGCACTGGCTATTAGTTCCGATGGACCGCTTTATGATACCTAGTACCATATTTGCCTTGTTTACCGTTGCAACATTGTTGACAACATTCAATGGCGGTCGGACGTGCAAGTGCTGCTCTGCCAAATATCCTTTTGACTTGCTTGTGGTTTTTATGGTTCTTGTTCTTATCGCTCCGAAACCATACGGTGAAACCATACGACTCTACAGATTGTAGTGTTTCTTTTGGTTTTCTACGAGAAAACCAGCAAAGAAATGGCCATGTGTTCTTCAGTCCGTCGTGTTGTGTCCGCCATTTTGGGAACCTTGCTGTTGTGACAAGAACAACGAAGAAAAGGGCCTTTGCTAAAAGTAGGATACCCTACTACAGCAATCACTCCGCGATGTTCAATATTCAAATTATTTGCTCCCATGGAGATATTCATCCTCATCCTGGTCCGAGCCGTGTAAGTCATCGGAATCATGACGGTAACGTGGCTTATAAAAATCGACATCGCAAACCTGATATATCCGTCTTCTATGCTAATTCAAGAAGCTTAGTTAACAAGACGG